CAGCTCAATTTTTTGTCCTGCAATAAAGGTTTATAACCGTTTTTCTCATATAATTCTAAAATATTAATATATTGATGTGAATATGTATAAGCAAAATTATAGTTATTGTTATATTTATTTAGAAAATGTTTGTTATTGCTATTATTTATACTAATTTTTTCACTATAAACACCATTATTTCTACAACCAAAATTTCCACTAAACTATTATTCATTTTTATTTCTTCCATTTGTTTATATTTTCTATCTTTAATGATTTTTTTTTATCTCTAAAAAATCACATATAAAATCTCATTCAAATTCAATATTTTTTTCTAAAATTATAATATTATTCAATCTATGATATTCAAAATGGTATTTAATAAATTTTAATTTAAGACTAATGACTTAAATTTCAAATTAAACTATTTTAATTTATTAAAAATACGTGATGCTTAACACACTAACTGCAAAAATATTATAATTCTAGAAATTTATTTTTTTAAGCACAATAAATTGTAATAAGACAAAAAAAATATTTTTTTGCTTTATTAATATAAGTAAAAATTCAGAAGTAGTTTAAATTTATTAACAAAATTAATATATGAAGTTACATCTTGTTTACAATATTTTCTTTTCGTTCAGATTTACACAAAATTCGTACATTTATACTTTTATTATATGTTTATAATAGAAGCAAAACACTAAAATACATACGTTATTTATATTCAAAAATGTTTTTATTAAACAATACAGATGCAAAATTTAACAATCATAAGAAAAACTTGATATTTGTGTAAAGAAAAAAATATATTTCAATAATCGGTACAATGATGATATGCGAAATGGATGCAAAAAATGTTTGAATTTTGTTTTTAAAAATCATATTATTTTATTATATTTACGTTATTTTTATCTGGTTTTTTTAAAAATGTAAATTGTAACCTTTCAGCATGTGAAAATATTTTTAAGCAAATTAGAATTTACACTCATAAGTTTGATATTCAAAGTTTAAAGATTTTTTGTTATATCATGTTCTAAAGGCATAAAAAAAATATAGCATAAATGAAGAGTATTTGTGAAATAAATTATATGTTTGTATATAATTCACAATCATTAATATTTTTATGACGAAAATAAATAAACTAAAGTATTTTTTATGTAATAAATTAGATATATTTAAATAGCATTTAAATTTAATTTAGTTCGAAAAACCAGTATAAAACGAATTTAACGCATAAATTACCAACAACAGCAAAAATATAAATGTAGTAGATAAACCTACCATATGCTGATGTGTATAGTCGCCTTCAAAAAAATAGGCCAAATCTGAAAAACCATTGTAATCCACTAGTCAACTTGCGACTTTCCCTCTAGTATTCCATAAAAAGATCAGCAATATTTCTAATAAAGAATCGAAACTTTATAAGGAAAGGCGATTCAAATTGTAACACAGCAAAAACAATACAGTTAAAAATAAAAATAAGAAATATATTGTATAAAAAAACACTTCTTATTAAAGTCTTTCGCTTTATTCTCTCTATTTACGCACTCGACCAGAACCCTTTGAGTACGGCAATAACATAAGCAAATTTCAATAAAAAGTTTAGCTAAAAAATTTTTTTTATAATTCGTTAGTTTGAACAGTGAGTATATATTCTACCATGATAGTGTAGCAGATTATGCAGGTTTTTGGTTAAATGAATAGCATAATAAAAACTAGAAAGTAATGTTCAATAGTAAAAAAACATATAAATATTATTTGGTAGCACGTAATATAATTTATTTAAACCTTTTGTTTTAATCAAATGCATTTTTTTTCTTTTTTTTATTCTGTCAACTTGTATAGTTGTGTATAACTATCATAGTCAATTTAAAAACAGAGCACTTTTTTTATTCTTTCCTGCTTGTTAGTAGTGGCAATTGTTGGAAGGCCTTGCTTCTGATAGCTTATTTGATCTTTGATTCTTCTTGTACACCATCCAATGTAAGATCTTTGGCTTTAAATAGACAGGTGTCACTCAATGTGATTGACATCTACGCCATACCGATTTCACATGTCAATTCTAAGACCAAATTAATTATCCATTAATAAATTTCATATGCCAAAATGAAACTGCAAAAATTATATTAAAAAATCAAACCTATATTAATTTTCCATAAATGTGATTTTTATTTTAATATTTTGTTACCAAGGTCATATTATCAACAGCAATAATCGAACATTTTTGCAATTATTACATATAAAGCACTTTGGCCAATATTCCTACACATATTTATTTTAAAAAAATGATATTTACTCCTTAAGAAAGTAGTTTATAATCACCATAAAACGTTCATGGCGATAGATATGCATTGTAATGAAAAAGCAATCATGTTTAATATTTTGTAAATACAAACCGATTCTACAGATTGCTTTATTTTAATTTCTATTTCTTACAAAACTCTTGAAAATCGCATTTTTATTTGTGAATTTTGATGGACTTGCGATTTTATTTATAATTTTCTTATTTCTTATATATTCTACAAGAAGTTGTTAAAGAGCGAAGATATAAATGATAAAATATTAATAGAAAACCCAAATTATTGTAGGTGCACAGGAATTGCATAAGAAATTAATGAAATTTATTTTTATAAGAAAGACGTTATTATAAAAACGCATTCTAGTAAGATTTGTGGTTTTAGGATATCAAAAAGCTATTTTGACTTTTAAATTATATTCCGTATTTTCAATACTATAGCTACAGAATATTTTTACCAATCATCAAAAGTGTATTGACATCGAAACATGTTATTTGATTCGATAAAAACTTTTATTGCTTAATAGAGTTCAAACAGATAAAACTTCATTAATTTTTACCATCACTTCTAATGTTGCTAATTTAATATTGGCTTCTTCATTAATATAAAATAGCATTAAACAAAGTATAATAATCATTTAAAATACCCAACTATGTATACGGTTCTGTATTTTTATATTCAGCAACTGTTTCGATATGTGTATTTTTTTATGAAAAATAATTGACCACACCTCTTTTAAGAAAAAAAAATCAAGTATGAGTAATTTTTTTTTGCAATTATAAAATTTTTTTATAATGAAAGCATATAATAAAAACCATTTAAAATATGCAATATAATCTGTTATAGGCATTAGTTATCTCATAAACAAATAATATCAGTATTTTTTACTAAAATTACATAAAAATTATTAATAACAATTTTGATCTTTAATTATAGTATCTAAAAAATCAAATAATAAATTGACGGATCGATAAAAATTAAGTATAAAAATGCAACATTATAAAAATTTTATTTTTTATTAGACAAGAAACTAGATATAAATTTTACAACTTAGAATTTAATTTGTTTTGAAGAATAAACTTCTGAGTTCTTAAAGCGAGTATTTCGCGACTGTAATTAACATTTTTTATGATATGCAATTTTTTTCTGCAATTTTCGATGCATCTTTTAAACTCTACAATATCACCAGAATATGTTTTAAGTTCTATTTGATTATTGATTTTATTCAACAAATATGCCATCTTCTCAATTATTTTGTTTTTTGATGAGTTAAACTTTTCAATTTGATCTTTAACTTGTTTAGATTCATCAGCGAGCTCATTTTTCATTAATTTATTTTTTTCGTTTACTGATTTTAGTTCAATCAAAATTACTTGTAATTTGTCTAAATAATTTTTACGAAACTCATTTACTTGGTGTTTAAAAATAAGCAAATCCCGTTCATTATCAATTTCATTTTTGTATGCAGTAAGATTTTCTGTTTTAATTAATGAAAACAAATTATTTATTTTCTCATGAATATTTGTTTCTGGAAGCAACTGAATATTTTTCTCTTTTGTATTCAGCTTTTGCAGAATTTCATCAAGATAATATATTGAATCATTAGAAATAGCAACATCACCATAAAAATATTTTATATCATCATTAATAATAGCTTCAATAAATCCATCCAAATGGCACAGCATATTTGATTTACAAAAAACCGAATTTTTATTAAAAAATATATCGAATTTGACGTTCTTTTCGTGAATGTAACTAATAGTTATTAAATGCTTGTTTTTGAACTTACAAATTTCTAATCCGTTTGTATAACATATATAGATATAGCCATTATTTGATATAATCTTTTTTGGTTTTGAATTTTCAAAGAGATTATCACCATATTTCATTCTTTTAACTACATTGCTCAAAATTATTCTGCCTGACTCAAAAAAATTCTCTACCATATAAATTTTACCTCTATTTGTAAGAACTAGAAAATTATCTTCATAGGGATCAACAAAAATAGGTGTGTTATTCTCTTCATCTATCAATCGTATTTTTTCCAATGAAAAATCTGGATTCAAAATGTTGAAGTAGTTTTTGTCTGTATAAAAAAATATTAATCCTTCGTAATCATTCTTAAGATACTGAATTGTATTTGGTAAATGCGGCAAGCTGTTACTGCTTAAATTGTTTCCTGAAGCATCAAAAATCTTTATTTTGTTTCCATTTAAAACTACAATGTTGTTTTCTAGGGAGGAAATGAAATTACCATGTATCGATTGTCTGATTACACTTTTTGTTTCTGTTTTTAAATTTAGTTTGTAAAGTGATTTATTCGATATAAAATAAATCAAGCCGTCAATGTAAACTGATTTTGTCAAGTCTTCATCGATTTTTATAAACGATTGTCGAACATGAATTGAGTGCATGGAAGGGTTCAAAAGAGTTGTTATTTGTTCAATTCAAGAAATTAAAATTCATTGTATAATTTTTTTAATAAACCGAATAACAATTCGAGCTTTAAATACAAAGTTAATTCTTAATTTATAATTTTTGCTTTAAATTTCCATTCTATATTTTATTTGTCAAAAATATTCGTTCTGTTTAAATTAAAATGATAAACGCATTAAAGCAATTCGAACAAAATTTAAATTTAAATTTATTTGGAATTATGTTGTATAACTACCCGAGCTTAATATAAATATATATTACTAATTAAAATATATTTTTTCTAACGCTTTCATAGTGTAGCGGTTATCACGCGTTCCTCACACGAACGAGGTCCCCGGTTCGAGCCCGGGTGAAAGCATTTTGTTAATAACCGAAGAATGACTTCATCAGCGGTCTAAATGAACAAAATAAAGTGAAATTAAATGATATTAAATAAATTTTTATGGAGCGAAATCAAAAACTCAATCACCATTATAAAGATTCGATCATTATTTTACAACTTTTTTGCTTAAATTGCTACAAAAAAAATTTTTTTAACGAATACGTAATTTACTCTTAGCAGTTATTATATGTTTAATGTACGGAATCCGAAAATATAACAAGAAATTGCATCTAACTTGTAACTTTTAAGCCAAATAACGCGATTAAATATTTTTATAACAAAAAATAAGAACAATTAAGTGCCGATTTCCTATTCAAAGAAAAAAATCGACTAAAATTTTTGTTTTATTAAGCTATTATGTATGATAACATTCTAGAAATAATCCATTTTTCAAGGAAAATTAAATAAATTAGATAGTGTAATTATCAGAATCAGAAATCTAGGCATTAACCACATACTTTCTTTATAAACTTATGTATTTGTTGGATTGATCAAATTTAACAAGCAACTGTCAATTTTATAGCTGAAAAATTGCAAAATGAAATTTATATATTTCTGCAAAAATATAATACTAATAAGACAATAAAAAGACAATATTGGGTTTGAATTTGCTAATTCAATTGAAATTGTTACTCATACGAGAAAAAAGAATTTATAAAAGAACCATTTTTGATGTTACTTCGACGGTATCTGATAACATGCTTAACTTGATCAAAGTTCTAAATAGAAATCGAATAGAAAACATAATAAATTTTTATTTTATTAAATTTTTCTTTTAAACACCATAATTGACATTGCGAATTTTATTAAAAGAAATATATGCGTATTTGTAATATTAACATACCATTACTTTTAGCTTTGCAATTTGAATGTTAATTTTTATAATATTCGAAGGACTAAAAAGTACATAAACATAGGATACATACAGGACCACTTAAAAATGTTGTAAAATATATTTGCCGTTTTATTTGCTTTTTTTTGAATTAAAATCATTTAACAAGAATTAGATCAAATGACAATCTAGAACTAACAGAGTTGTTAGTTTCAAAATTTCAGAGGCATATAAATATGTTTGTGGTGGAAAAAAGGGATGCGACCTGTCCTGAAGTATTCTTCTAGGATTGAACGCTGATGGAAGTAACTCTCCACTTTCAGTCGTACGTCGACTCTCCCGTTTCCGCTTAAAATAGAGTCTTGGGATTTTTTGTGATTCATAAATGTAAAAATTAAAAGGAAATTAAGAGGTTTTAATTTAACCTAAATTTTTAAATAAAAAGTTTTTCTTTTGAAAATCTATTAAAATTACTCATGGAGTCTATAGCTTTATCATTATTGAATAATTTGTTGTGACCAATAAGACACAACAATCCTGTAATCGTTATTAAAAAAGAAGAAATAAAAAGGAAAAAATGATTAAAAAGAAAAAACAATTAAAAATTGTATATATATATATGGAATCGGAATTGGTTCGATAAAAATTTTATTTCCCATTCTATTTTTATTGTTCAGTAAAATTTTCATAATATTGAATTTCAAAATGATTATAGATTTTTATTTGATAAATTACTAAATTTATCACAATAAAAATGTTAATTAATATTTTTGATGCATGTAAGAATTTTAATTCAATTTAGATTACTTAATTGGTATTTTTAATTTATTTATTTGTTTATAGAAATATCTGAGAATTATATTGGTTTTTTAGTAATACAAATTGATTAAATCCTTGATTTTTTCATCAAATATTTTTAATGTTAATATGTAACACTTCACCAGTCAAATCAGATTTAGGTGACAGTGACAAAATATAAAAAATAAATAATATATGACCCAAGGGAACTTTTGTGCTCGAAAAACGCAAATAGTATAAAAAAAGGATTTTATATTTCCTAGATGATTTTTTTTATTACAAAGAAGTTACAATTTCAAGTGCAGTATAACAATAAAAAAAAATGAAACTAGATTAATCAGCTCCATAATTTATGTTTTTAATTTTCCGAATGCACTATATGAAACTAATGAGTTTTTAGGACTGTAAGCATAGAGAAATTTTCGACAGAGCATTTGAATCTCGTAGAAATAATTATATAAAGTGAAAGTTATGTATTAATTCACTACCCGCACATAGTATTTGTATTAGTGGTCGAGATGGATGCTTCTACTTAAGCGCAAGTAGATAGGTTTCTTTATATATATTTTTGTAAGCATGACACAATTGTCCCATTTTTAAAAACCAGTTGATTTTTATAAATACGTTTTTCATGAAGAAGCGTGGTCAACTTCAGAACAATAAAAATTTCTTCTATATACATGTAACACAAATTTACATTTTATATCTGTTAGAACAACAAATTTGAAACAAAAAAAGCAAGAATTTTTATTCTAAAATGTGATATTACTATTAGCATCATATGTGTGGCTTTTTGAATTTATTTAAAGAGTATTATTGGATACTAAATAACACGTAAATTTATATTATATTAATTTTAGATATAAATTCCTCAAGCAATTTTAAAACTGTTTTATTTTTTTAGCTTTCTAAATTAAATGTATTTTTTTATCACAATAAAAACGTTATTAGTGATATATGATTAATGCTATTTACACGAGAATAGTGATAGATTGTGCAGCAAAATCTTAATAAAGATATTATATTTCATTTATTATCACATAATATTAGATCAGATAATGTAATGGATTTCTTTTGTATGATGAGTTCCTGTAACATCTATAAAAAAATTTCGCACATTATATGGCATTAGACAGTCTTATTAGAAATACTAAGTGCTAATTATAGAAAAAAAAATAATTGTCAAATTGCTTCGAACTATTTATTTTGATTTGCTTTTGTTTGTTTATACATGCTAAAAACAATTCTAAGTAAAATGGTTATCACGGATATCGAGGAGCAGTTCTAGATCAAGTATAAGATAATTTTATTTGAGTTGGATAATGCACTCGTTAGGACATTTTCTTATTAATAACATTTATGTTATACAAATACGAATTTCGGTTCAAAAAATACAACTTTTTATGTTCACTGTGTTTGTAAATAATTTTATTAATTTCAATCTATTTTCTTTTTTGTTGCATGTTGCACTTCATCATAAACATTATATAATAATACTAAAAAAAATGCAAAATTTATGATTTCGAAGTTTTTTTCTTTTAACTTTGTGCAAAAGCAAGCTTTTTCGTCTTCTTTCATTTTTAAAAGCTAAAGTTATTATTTTTATATTGATTTATAAATATTTTTATTCTTTTAAGGGTATGAGTTTTAGTTAAATATTTTTTGTTTTTTTTACAAAAATTTTCTATTTTTTATGAAGTTAAAAGCTTTAAAAAATTTTTTTTCAAATTTATAACATTTATTTTTATGTTTCATCTTTATGCTACATGTTTAATTCACTATTGCACCTTAATTATTTCACATAATATAACCTTTTCTTATATTGTTTTGTATTTTTTAAAAGATCTTTATATTTTGATTTATATTTTTTTCTCTTTCTTTTTATATAATATTACAGATATTGATGTTTAAATCACATTTATTTCGATATTTATGTGAATAATTTGTTTATTAAGAAATGACTATAAATTAAATTTATCAAATGTCTTGAAATTTCTATGTAGAGTACTAAAATAAAATGATAAATTATCATTAGGTTGATATATTTAAAAGTTTATTTTTGCTGTTTTTGTTTTGCCTCTTTCATCGTTTATATTTTCGTATGAATTCTGTAGGTAAAACTTTCGGTCGAATGAGAAACGGTTTTACATATAGGATCTTATCGTAACAATGTATATTTTCTATTTAATATTTTTCTATAATAATTGTTGACAGCCGGTTTTAGTTCGAACTATAATTCTTTGCTTTTCGCTGTAAGACAAAAAGTGAAGTAACCGCTGTTAATACAACGTTACAAAATTAAATGTTTTATAAATATTAAAATTGCTACATATACTTTAATTATGCTTTTTTTCTAGAAAAAATGTAACTGTTTCAATAATATACTAATTTATCGCAAACGAAACAGTCTTTAAGGAATAATTTATAATTTTTGAATACTCATTATTCGAAGCTTGTTATAATCTTTGTAAACCTTTTTTTATGCTTAAAAATGTTCCACAAATGTTTTTTAAGTCATTTGACGTATATTTATGTGCAGCAGCAACATTTAACCATGTTTTATTGGCTTAATTTGGAAATATATCTGACTTTAAATATTATTGTTTTGTTATGATTGGTATTTTTTCTATCGATCTTTGAGTTTATTTTTATATTTACCAAATTGCAAGACTGTAGTGTTTAGATACGCCGAGGTATAGAAGAAATTTCGAAGTTATTTAAAAAAAATGAATACACATTTCCTTTAAAATAAATAGATATAATAATATTTTTAAAACGCGCAATGCGATAAAACCTGTAGGGTATTTTTCAAGGTATAAACATAACTGTCTACTAATGTTGAAATTGTTTTTTCCAACAAAATTTAAATTGGCGAATGGTGCTATCTAATTGTCATGGAATTCCGAATAAAAAAGAGAATACCATTCAAATTTATATTATGTACCATTTTATTAAAAAATTTTAAATGTTTGTAGTTTTTTGCGTGCAAATTAAACAACTATTAAACATTTCATAATGAAAATAAAGTTAGATTTATTTTTACCATAAAAATTATAAAAAAAGAAAGCAAGAAATCATGTGAAAAATAATACAAAATATATTCGATTACGAATACAAATATATCGTAAAATACAAAAGAAAACAAATAAAATACAAAGTTTTAGCAATAAATCTCTTTATTTTTATTTTAAGGTTGTCTTATTGTAGTAGGGTCTTTTTTTACGTGATGATTTTTATATCCAACTATATATATAAATAAATATATATATATATATATATATATATAGTTAAAAGCTATTTTTTTGCTACATTAATTGTCATATGTTGTTGAGAAATATTAATTTTT